AAGGGGACAATGCCCGGTATCGATTGGAAATCCGTTCATGTCAAATCAGGTTTCATGTTGTTCACTGCTCAAATCGGGTCACGCGAGGCCAAATGACCTCGTCTTATTCCGATATAACTCGTCCACTCCGTTGCCTCTTCCGGGGAAACGTTCCCGTGCCTAGACCAGCTGGTCTATACCATTCAACATGGTAGTGAACTTGAGTTAGCTCATGGCCACCATTTCGGTAATGACTGGCGATGATTTAGTTTTTGGCGATGCAATGTCAGGTCGTCACAGCTTGCCAACATTTACTTCCAGACTGAATCTTGGCTCTTGCTGGATCCTTCGCCTTATTGTCAGGCTGGATCTTGGTCCTTGCTGGATCTTTCGACCTAATATACAGCTAGAACCTGGTTAGGAACCAGAAACCAGGAAATAAACAGGTTAATAACCAGTAAATAACCGGGACCAGAAACCAGGAAACCGGAAGAAACCGGTTCCCGGAAATAAATCCTAGGAATCAGGCATATGTCTGCTCTGAAGTGCCCTACTTTCTTTCGTTCTGGTTGCATGTGCAACGTCGGTCCACCCAATGGCAAGTAAGACCAAGCTCAACTTTTGTGACCAGTTTTGATATTTTTGGGGTGATTCGATGTAATCCTTTAAGCTTAACAAGAGCTATTCGATGACGTTTTCCGCGTTATCGTAGTGTGATTAGTTCTTTGCGGAATCTGAGATGTTTATAACGGTTCTAGTTTGATCACTGACTTGATGTTACACATCAGAGACATATTACCGGTGTTCAGCCACGCGTATCTCATACAGTTATACGAGCTTTTGAATGCCGTTTCCCTGTGGCTCTAGTCTGTATATTTATTCAGATCTAAAAACCTCTGATGCCCCATTCGTAGAAAGAAGGTAAAAATTAATCGCTTACGGGGAGAGGGCTAAAGGAAATGTTTCATATTTGAAAACACTGAAGCAAGCATCAGATTTAATAAAGCAAGCTCGCTTTATAATTTTTGGAACGCCTTTGAAGTGGAAAAAACTGCCCTAGACAACACGACTCGTTGTTGAGTAAATACGTTCCTCATTGCGTCATAGATTCATTACGTCAGCGTCCCTTGCACAGCATTGATTTAGAGCCAGTTGGCGACGGGTATACCTGGAAATTGCGCTCACGAACGCCGGATGTGAACGCCTCAACAATTTTATCTTTTGGTATTTATCGCCGCATGACTTATAGAATGGTAGGATTTGAATGATGTTGTTATGATGCCATGAATTCTAAGGTGACTTTGAAATGCTCTCCCCGATGCACCTTTCTACATTTTCACGCGCGTGTAGCTGAGAAACTAGAGGGGCTTCGGTCTGAAGAAAGGCAGGATTGTGAACAGCACCGACACGTTTTCAAGATAGATATTTCGGTTCAAATCCGCACATAAATATGGAACACTTTTTATGATGCCTCTCACTTAGGCTCGACCTGAACTCCTACCTTGCAACGCGCCCGAGGATGTCGTGGTATTTCCAAATTGTTCGACCAATTATCGTTTGTCAAAAAATATTGTATTCCGGCACGCTGAACCTAGGTGGCATTTTGCTGCAGACGTTCAGCAAAGAGGACGGGCTCAGGGAGTCGCCGCTCCTAGCCATGACTGCCACCACTGTCGGAATGTCACCACAGTGCAGGAGTTTCCTGGAAGGGAGCCAACCACCATGGGCTCTTTGTTTAGGCCGTGCGGTGCGGTGTTGGGGTTTGCGGGTTCATCCCAGTTGTTATCAGTCGTCTCCATCGAATAGTTCCGAAATGCCTGTATGTTGACGACGAGGTTCTGAGCCCACTCAACCTAATGAATGATGGGTTTATTGAAAAACATGTGGGATGAGTAGCCGTTGACAATTTTTGTCTATCATGGCAGGGCTGCGAGAAATGTTTGTTCAGTCTTATATTGTCAGTACGGTTGCCACTGCTCATTTGTATCAAGCATATAGAGGGCAAGAGCATAAGTGCATAAATGAACGTGTGCAAATTCACGTCATGATTATGTCTGGTCTTTTTATCTCATGCATAGGCCATGACGTAAGGCGATCGCGGCATCAAGACGTAAAACGTTACATGCTTAATCAGTTATTCAATGACGTAGGCATGAGATAGCAATGCTGACAAGATACTCGCCAAACATGAACGCTTTGATGGTGCCAGTGTTTCATGCCTGTCATGTTGTAACCCGTAACGAGGCCACCTGGTCTGGCCAGTCAGACTTGCGGCCATCAATACCTGTCAGTCAATGTCAGACCGTATGTGGTAAGCGGCCTTACTGTGAATCATCCGCGAATCATGTCATGAATCACAATGTGTGCACTCCAGAAAACTGCGCTTCTTGACAGATCATCGAGTAGGCATTGTTAGGCAGGTGGGAGGCTTCGCGGCATGCTTGCACGTGGCTTGCACATGTGTGGCTCCGCGCATGTGCATCCCTTCAACAGTCAACAGTCTTGACATGCTTCACAACTATGTTTTTTTCTCAAATGAATCCCATCTCAAGTGAGCTCCCGATGTACCTTATTTCGAGCGATAACGGGGGAGGGCTGGCGGATTGGCCCCCCTCCCTCTCATCAACCTCACCATCCTTCCCCTGAGATCTCGAGAACCACTGGGCTGGTTTTGGGAAATGAATATAAGCTGTGTCCGGTTTTTCGAACATAAACTGCCGGACATGTCCGCACTACGACGCGCGACCAGACGTCTTCGCAGTGCGACGCATGAGTGCGCATGCTTGACACAAATATTTCCGTTTGCAGATACTGCACGTCCTCCCAACAAAGGAAACTGCAAATCATTATGTTTGTAACGGATTAGATAACGTTTTTCAGTCGTTGCCGGTCCTGAAACCGCAAACTGGCATCTATAAAATATAATCTGTTGCGCCATTTCTGACGCACTTCGATCAAGCCGTGAGAAAAGATGCGGCACGTTTGGCAGAGGTTCTACTTGACGTCACGCAGAATCTTTGTAGTCCGGGTTGCTGCGAACACCCAAAGGCACAGAATCTATGAGATATGGCGTCATGAATGATGTCGACTGCATAGACTCTTCGGCGTCCGGCTCGCTGCGAATGCACCATAGGACAAGTTTGGTTACACCATAGTTCCGAGCCGGCTGGCCATGTATGCGCCGGCAATTACGCAGAGCACGAGCCAGCAGTCAACCAGCTCCTCCCAGGCGTCTCTACACGCTATCGGTGCGAGCCGTGCGACGGCGCCTCGCACGCATGCTCTCGGACCGGTTCGTGACCGCTGGCTGTGCTATTATGAACGGTGAATATTGCATTCATATTTTACGGCGTCTTTTCCATTGATGCGCGTTTCACATCACTGCAGATCAGCGGAACTTCGAATAACAAGATTATATATATATATATATATATATATATATATATAGGCGTATACATAGTACGATATGTACAAAATATATATATATATATATATATATATTCTATATATATACTATATATAGATACTACCACATCTATATATATATATATATGGAGATAGTATATATATATATATATATATATATATATAATATATATTATATAAGTATATATATATAATATAGGTGTGTTGTGTGTATGTCAATATGATGATAGTAATAGTGTGTTGTGTCGTGTGTGTTGGTGTGTGTGTGGTGTGTGTGTGTGTGTGTGTGTGTGTGTGTGTGTGTGTGTGTGTGTGTGTGTGTGTGTGTGTGTGTGTGTGTGTGTGTGTGTGTGTGTGTGTGTGTGTGTGTGTGTGTGTGTGTGTGTGTGTGTGTGTGTGTGTGTGTGTGTGTGTGTGTGTGTGTGTGTGTGTGTGTGTGTGTGTGTGTGTGTGTGTGTGTGTGTGTGTGTGTGTGTGTGTGTGTGTGTGTGTGTGACATATATTTACGAACAACTTAAAACACTAGTCGGCATGCTGTACTGACATCCATCCGCGCATTACCCTTAACATGTGATCCAAAATTGCGCCTTTTTCTTCAAAAGGACTTTGGCAGTGAACAGCATGTTGTGACTGTGACATGTTGTGACAGCACTTCTGTCGTGACCCAGCGACTCGGAGGCTCCATTTCGTTCAAATGTTTTCCATTTCGTTCCTTTCGTTCTAGAGCGTTCAGAGGACGTTTGTATACATTGTTCCCACTGGCGATGGGCCTACGCGGCATCCTAATTGGTCGCGCTGTGTTCATGTCGGAACCCCGATTGTCATCGCCAGACATGCACGGCTACATACACGGCGCAGCGAACCTGTTGCAGCGCCTAAAAAAAACTGTTGGTGAGGACCATGGGCTGTTCGTTAAAAATCATCGCTCTATTCGCTGAACAAAGAGGATAACGGATGCACTAGCGGATGTAGCAACGCTGCCTCTGTATTGCGACTGTACCACACCTAAATGTGCCAGATACTGGTCCACGTAAGACGCCGGGTCCGAATTAGGTTAACCTCAACGTAGAGCGCATACGTATTCTGTTGACTGATCACCTCAGATCCTGGAACGGCATCCCTTTAGCCTTCGCGTAGCCGGTGTGTTCCTGGTTTAAGCCAGCCTTAAATGGCACGCCATCAAACAAATTCGATCACTTGCACAGGCTGTGAATGTTAAAGAAGTGACCGCGTTGCGACTGTCGACCATGATCGGGGTGCTCCCGCCATTGGGAACGTTCCCACCGTTTGCCCTAGATATTGTATGAGGTAACTGACTCGGCACATCAGTGGAAAATTGCATTACCGGACATAGCGGTATTGCGGCTTGGTGGCCTTTGTTGAATGCTCTGGATTGCATAGATGCCTGCATACCATTTGTTCTTTATTTTCTGCTGAGTCATCGTGTACCTGAACACGTGCTTTCCAGTTCCTCACTGGTCTACGAAATCTTGTTACAGACGTAAAATTATTTTATCCAGAATCTACTCAATTCTCCGGGTTTACTGCCTCGAAAAGCATGCCTTCCTGGTAATCTTTAAACGACAAAACATGCCCACAGGTTTATTTCGATAACGTTCTGCTCAGTTGGCACAAACCATACGCGTTTTCACTCAACCCATCATCATTTATCATGCTATAAATCCGTCATCCTGGGATCTGTCAGGCCTGGCAGACCGTGTCGGACTGAGCATCACTGCTGCCTTGTGTTGGCGAATTCAATACAATCCGCTTCCAAACCTGCTGAAGCACAGCCATTCACGAGTTGAGGCCAGGGTATCGCCACCTAAATCACACAGGCCCAGAGCTCTAACATCATGCCTTTCTTATGCCTGGTGTCGCTTTCTGAACCATGAGAGCAAGGCAAGACTTCTGGGCCACAGGACTCAACTAAATCATAGATGAATGGACGGGGCGTTAGTTGTTTTCAACACAGTCGGGTTTAAAACGACACCCTAACATTATTCAGTGACATTTAGTGTACGTGACTACAATATCAACAGCACATCAGAACGCCGTCAAATCTACGTGTGGGATCGCCAACGTATTGCAGCTGAGCACTTGATTGCGACCAAGGGTGGTCAGGAAAGCTAGCGGCTGAACCTTGGTGAAGTCATTTACGAACTCAGGACCGAGCGTGTCACACAGAAGGCGGGCCCAGTTGCTCTTCCGGATCTCCTTCAGCTGGAGGGCCGTGAAGCTGTGGGGGAGACCACCATTGTCATAGAAGAAGCGGTCTCCAAAGCGTAGGTCGAAGAACTGCTGTGCAATCAGGCACTGGAAGGTTGGGCCCACTTGGGCACCAGGGGCTCGCCGCTCAGCCACTCCGCCGATGAAGAGGTCGACATCTCCGGGGTGGTCATAGACGGCGCGAAGCTTGTCGATCACACTTGAATGCATCAGTCGATGGAGGTCGCCCCAGTAGTGCACCTGCACAAGTCCACAGGCCTCGACTACCTGCGCGTAGGTGGGAGTCCCATGATCTCGACCCCGCTGAATGTTCAAAGCAAGGAGGTCCAGGCCGTGCAAGAAGTTGGTAGTGAAGAGCTGTTCGTGTACGGCTGCTGCCACCTTGGTGTCGAATGTCTCGGACCGACGGGCGACTAGTGTACGAGCGTGACCTACCAAGCTGTCCGCCACCACAGTCGGCTCAAAAAAGGTCGTCGTGACATTGACAACGCGGAACACCTGCCCGTTTGCGTCTAGCAAGTCATACATGTCCCGCACCAAGGTGTGGCCAAACCGGAAAGCGGCAGTAGAAAACGAGTTGGACATGCTGGGGTCTATGTCTGCATCATAATAGTTAGAGAATCCGGACTGCAGAGGCAGAAGACCGTGCTCGTCGGCATAATCAAAGCCCACGACGGCAGGCAGCCACTCGTTGTAGATGATATGCTGCCATTCGGCTGTCAGTATACGTCTGGCCTCCTGGAACAGCTCCTCGTCGCCCCAGGTCGGATACCGCTTGATGAGGTGCCCCGCGATCCGGTTGTGCTCGCGCACGAACACCGTGTGCATGACGGCCAGGCCGCTCTGCTCGTTGACTCTGGTATCGCCGGCACGGAAGCAGACTGCGGCACGACAGGGCATCTCTGGTCCGGGCGGGCCAGTCATCGGCAGTAGGTCGCCCGGGCTGGTGAGCATCAGACCATCCTGATACGCCCGCAGCTCCTCCAACTCTTTCGGCTGGCTGCCGTACACGTTTGACGCGTCCAGAAAGGCGGTGAGCTCGTTGAGCGGATTGGCCGGCCGGGCGATGCAGTCAGGGTCCGGCGCCGGCAGAGAGCGAACCAGTGGCATGCAGCGCTGGCCGAACGGGCTATAGAACGGGTCCTCAAGTGGGATCTGAATCGGAATGCACTGAGGGTGGACGGGAGGCGCCGGGAAGATCGTACCGTCGCCCAGGCAACACTCGATGCCTTCAGTCTCGCTCAGGCGGAACACCAGCGCGTGCGTCAGGTCGTGGTCGACGAACTGGCTAAACTGCATCAGCGACAACGTGAACTCTCGCAGCTCGTTGGACATTGTTTCCAGCACGCGCTCGCTCACCAGCCGCGCGCTGGGCAGTGTGCCGCCGCGGACTGCTCTCGTTCGGATGGCGAACAAGTTGTCGTCGTACGTGTTGGGCAGAAGTCGCTTGAAACCAGTCAGCGATCGACCGAGCCGCGGCCGCTGCAGATTGTTGCACTCGCCGGTGATGGTGCGGTAGATACTTTCCTCACAGATCACTTCCAGCTCGGGCTCACACTCGGGCGAAACCAGCGGCAGCTCTTCGGGCGTGGGCTGCACCACGGCACCAGATGCCACGGCGGCGACAGCGGCTTCTGCGGCTGCCGACGGGCCGTCCCTGCCGAGACTTCGCACAGCCTCCACCTGGCCAGGGGCCACACTTTCCAGGCTCTGAGTGGTGGCCAGTGCTAGCAGTGCCATCAGTCCAAGGTCCTGCGCCTCGATGCTCGACTGAGCGTTCAGGAAGAACAGCGCCGTTGGGCTGTTAGGGTCGGGGACCTGGTTGATCGAGAGCAGATTAGCCGAGGTGATGCCCTGAATGTCAAGGACTCTCTCGGCGGCGAGCATCGCTTCGCCTATGACGGCCATGGCGTCCTCGGATGCACGGCGGAAGTCCCGCGCGCCGATGAGGCGGTTGTCCATTGGTCGCATGGTGCTCAGCGGTGAGCCGGCGCCTGTCCCGACTGAAGAGCGCGGGCTCAGGCCGCTGATGACACCCGGCAGACGTGTGCTGTTGAACGAGCACATGATGCCAGGGGAACCGTCCCGCAGTCGACACCAGTTGTAGTATAGCATCTCTGGTTTCGCCACCAGAGGAGGGCACAACACCAAAGGCACGCAAGTGCCGCGACCATCGCCGATGCCCCCATGCTGGTGTGAACGGTGATGTGGATGGGGAGCGCCCTGATAAGAGTGGCGACCTGCTCCACTGGTGGGTCGACCTAGGGCACTGGCGCTGCCACTCGGACGGCCACCTGCACCAACTACACCTATTCCTCCAGGGCCACCTCCCGGCGCAAACACCGGTCTTGGACCTACACGTCCAGGCCCGCCGACTGGATGACCTGAGCCTCCACTTTGTCCTGCGGGGCTGATGGACCCGGGTCCTCCAGGACCACCAACAGGTACTCCAGGAGCCCTAGGAAGTCCCCCAGGAGCACCAGGAAGCCCTCCAGAGGCACCGGCAGGCCCTCCTCCAGTGGCACCAGCAGGCCCCCCTCCAGAGGCACCAGCAGGTCCTCCTCTAGGGGCAACAGCAGATCCTCCTCCAGATGCGCTAGCAGGTCCAGTAGGTCCTCCAGGTGCTCCGGGTCCTGCTACAGCTAAAGATCCTCCAGGCGCTCCTCCACCAGACCCTCCAGGTGCTCTAGGTCCTCCAGAGCCTACTACAGTTACGGGTTTTCCATATGCTTGCTGTCCAGGTCGTCCTTCTCCAGGACCTCCAGGTCCTCCAGGTGCTCTTCCTGGCCCTCCAGGTGCCCCTCCTCCAGGTGCTCCAGGTGCTCCCCCAGGCACTCCAGGTGCTCTTCCTGGCCCTCCAGGTGCCCCTCCTCCAGGTGCTCCAGGTGCTCCTCCCGGCACTCCAGGTGCTCTTCCTGGTCCTCCAGGTGCCCCTCCTCCAGGTGCTCCAGGTGCTCCAGATGCTCCAGGTGCTCCTCCACGCCCTCCAGGTGTTCCTCCTGCGTGCGCTCCATGGTGCTCCTCCAGACCCTCCAGGTCCTCTTCCTCTAGGTGCTCCAGGTGCTCCCCCAGGCACTCCAGGTGCTCTTCTTGGCCCTCCAGGTGCCCCTCCTCCAGGTTCTCCAGTTGCTCCTCCTCCACGTGCTCCAGGTGTTCCTCCAGGCCGTCCAGGTCCTCCAGGTACTCTTCCTCCAGGTCCCTCAGGTCGTCCGGGTCCTCCAGGTCCCCCAGGTCGCCCAGGTCCGCCAGGTCCGCCAGGTCCTGTTACGGGTCTTCCTGGTGCTGCCACAAATCCTCCAGGTCCGCCAGGTCTTCCTCCAGGTCTTCCAGATCCTCCAGGTCCTTGAGATCCTCCAGGTCGTGTTGCAGGCCCTCCTCCAGGTCCTCCGGGCACTCGAGATCCTCCAGGTCCTGCTGCAGGTCCTCCAGGTCCTGAAACAGGTCCTCTTCCTCCAGGTCCTCCAGGTCTCGCTACAGGTCCTCCTCCTCCAGGTCCTCCAGGTCCTCCTCCTCTGGACCCTCCAGGCCCTCCTCCTCCGGGTCCTCCGGGTCCTCCAGGTCCTCTAATAGGCCCTCCAGGTACTCCTTTTCCTCCACCACCTCCACCAGCAAGGCCTCTAGCGGGTCCAGCTTTGGTGGGTGGAGGGGCTCCCAGTCCGGAACTCGGTGGCGATGAGCCGCGTACGATGATTCCCGGTGGTGGCGGGCCTCTGATTCCAGTACCGGGTGGCGGCAGGCCTATGAAACCAGCCTGTGGAGGCTTGGCAAGAGGGACACCAAGGCCGGGTGCCCTCAGAGATCCCGGTTTGTGGCTACCACGTGGTGGGCCTCCGAACCTGAATGGTGGCAGTCCGTAGCCCCCAAAAGGACCAAACCCAGGTGTTCTGAACGGGCCAAAGCGTAGCCCTGGGAGTCCCGGCGGCTTCTTGCCCACTTTGACTACACCTGCACTGCCCGGACTGGCCAGTCCTTGGATACCCCCAACTGCTTTATTGATTTCTCCTGCCACTTTTGAGAGTGCGGGCGAACTTGGGGCAGGTTCGGGAACTGCGGAGGTCACGTCGGCAGGCTGAGGTGGTGCAGAAGGATCTACTGAGGACGGACCTTGCGGCTTTTGGTTAATGAAAGGGCGATAAACCGATTTCGAAGTGGTTCCAGCAGTTTTCACACCACTGAGGTCTGCTCCTTGTTTGCTGGGAATTGATTTTGAGACTTCTGAGCTCACCACCCATGGTTTTGGGAGCCCGAGAGGACTCCCACCTGGCACCGGAGTCTGAACACCTCCTGCAGCTGGCTCTTCAAAACCAGTTGCCGCTACTTCCGGTTTGCCTTGAACTGGTGCATGCTTCGAGGAACCGCTTGGTTTCGGAGCGCCGATGCCATTTACAGCTGGATTCGGAAAACCAAGGTGGAAACCATTTGCTTGCAGGCCTCCGAAATTGAATCTGGGAGGCCCTGGTCTTCCCAGTCTTGTGCCATTTAGTTTTGGACCTATTAATCCAAAGCCAAGTCCTTTGGGGCCTGCGACTCCGGCCACTTTAGGCCCACCGAAACCTCCTAACAATGGTCCTGGAGGTGGGAATCCGAATCCGGGCGGTCTTTGACCTCTCAGCCCAACTCCGGGAAACTTTGGAATTGGGAAGCCTGGTGGTTTTTGACCAGCAGAGCCGAGCTGAGCTAGCTTCGACGCTCCTGGTGCGCCTGCGGAGGACGTCGAGCAGCAGACGCCAAGACGTCCGCCTTGTATGGGGCAAGTACGAAGGTTTCCGGACCGGAGGACTTGTGGACACTGCGGGAACGGCTGGCAGTCGCACTGAGCAGCGACCTGTGATCCAGCTGAGCAGAGGGCCGCTACCAGCCAGGCCTGCGGAACAGAGGACAAAAATCACAACGCTGCTACTAAGCCGAGTCTGCACGATTATCACGGCAGGTAACCACATCCATTACGAACGGGTAGCACGGCTGCACAAGTACGACGCGTCTGCACGGTCATCACGGCAGGTAAGCACGTCCAATACGGACGGGCAGCACAGCTGCACAGCAAGTACGAGGCGTCTACACGATCATCACGACAGGTCAGTACAGCTGGCGTCTACACGATCATCACGGCAGGTCAGTACAGCTACTTCGGGGGGCCAGCACGACTATCACATCTCAGCATGGCTGTCACGGCGCGAAGGCACTGAAGTCACGTCGTCAGCAAGGATATCCCGAAGGACTAAAAGAACCATCATCGCCAATCTGTTCATCTATTCTAAGGGTCCGCATGCTGTGGTGAAGAGTGAGAAAGATTGTCAAAATGAGTCAGCAAACCTTTTCCAGTGGGTACGCGCCCGTTTACAGAGTATCAACGAAGTGATTCGTGATATACTAGCACGGTAATTTAAGAACACGTTCCTTGATCTGAGCCTGTGCAGCGTAGCGAATGGCTCATAACACCACCAAGCCTGCATGGAAGCAAAGTTGCCAAGGTATCCAAATAAGCCGGACTGCTGCACCTTTTGCCGCCTCATGTGTCAGGCGGATTTCCAAGAACGCGACCCAGTAATACAATGGCTAACCGGATCTGTGGGGGGCCTGGTTATCGCACCGTCAAAGGCTCTGCTGAATATGGATGTGCAAAGTCTGCAAATGCATGCGTCGCTGGAAAGATAACAGTAAAATAAATCAAGGATGTAATGAGCTTCAAGCCGTCGGGTGACAACGGAGCGCGCATGTGAGCAGGGTGTGACGATGCTGTCTATTGGGACAAAATCGCATCACTATCTATGTCACTTAGCTGGTCACCCACAGCTCGAAGTTACAACGGCCAGATGGCGGGAACTTGTTAAATCATTGTGCTTCCGGTATTTCCACCACTGACCACAAGTTTTCGGACAATCAGACGCATTTCACAAAGTCATGACTGGAGCTGAATACAATGCACGAGAACATTACGAAAGATAAGATGAATAACCTCCTGTATAATCGTCCTCAATACTTGCCCTCTAACTTTGAAGTCGTCTTAGGCGATCCATCAATGGTCTTTGGTTCAGCCCCCTGCCCTACAGCCTACCGACATATTTAGCGTTACAGTTTATCATGCGCTGCAGCGAGGCCATGCAGCCCAACGCCGCTATTCAGTCCCAGTCCACCACTCCGCATATCGTCTTGGACGGATTGCCTTACCAGCTGCACCACGCTGCTATTCCCTGCAACATCATGTTTTGTTCACTGTCTATAAAAATAGCCCTCCATCCTTGTTCGCTGGCAGGACGCAAAAAATGAGATTTAGGCATGATGTAAGCTGATAATAACGCCCACCGGTTTATCTTAGCCACTTAAAATTGGCGGAGTGCTGATGAAAGCCCACAGATGCAGGCATGAATATTTGGAAGAACGTGAATGAAACAAATGCGTTTTTTGGCATTGACGAACTGAAATGGATACAAAAACACCAAAAATGGCATTTCTGCTGGCATGTTTAACTAGACACAACGGTAAGCATTTACATCAATATAAGAGTGTGTATCTGTATGTGTATACTCAACTTATGCAACAGCTACGACTTGTGAGCAAAGTTATGTTATAATCACGTCAAGACCGTTACCTAAGAACTAAGCTCACATTTGGCACATGCAGTCCAGTTAACCTGAGTCGGCGCGTGTGCTTAGTGCGGAAGACAATGCAGAAGGCTACGATAAAAAAAGTTCTTAGAAAACTATCACAAGAAAGCTAATGAGCATCAAAACATGAGACTCACGATAGGCCATATTTGGTCGACCTGATAAAGGCTTATTGAAGAGGTCTGCACTGACTATTTCAAGAACTATACAAACAACACCAATGACAAAAACAGTGTATGAAAAGTCTTAAAAAGCTGCAAGACTTCACCAGAGCCACGAGGACTAGACTAAGACACTTCAGCGTGATGTGGGTAAAACAGCAGTGAAGAAAGCTCGCTGGAGAGTATCTCCGCTAGGAGTAATCAACATGCAACTTCTGAAGTTGCATGTTGAATCGCGCTCACGAACGCCAGATATGAACACTTTGAAGTTTTACTTTTTTGACCTTGGTCACCGCATAGCTTATGAAACGGCAGGATTTGAATGGTGTTATTATGAATGCTATTATTCCAATTCCACGGCCACTTTGAAATACTATCCGCGATATATCTTTCTCCATTTTCACGGGCGTTCAACTCAGAAACTAGAAGGGCTTAGGTCTTAAGAAAGGGCAGGCTTGTGAACAGCACTAAAAGTCTTCAAGATGGCTTTTCAGTTCAAACCCTTACACAAATGGGGAACAATCCCTTTAAATATGCTTCGCTTCAAATAAATATTGGTGCAATGTAATGCTTCAGGGGTTTAAAACGTCGAAGCTTGTTGGCCGTTGGCTTGTTGTCTTGAATGCCGATTGAAATAATGCGCGTTTTTTATTGAAACCTGCTCTGAAAGATTATTTTGGTTAAATGTATCGATGATTCTCAAAGCAAAATAGGCAGTGCATACTCCATGGTGAGAAATTCTAGCTCTTAGTAAATGACAATGTCACATATACAGCATCATGCAACGGACTTATATGTTTTCGTGAGAACCCTTTACAATACCTGGTTTGGTTTTCGTCGACAAACTCGACTGACTCGCCTGTGGTCAGTCAACTCGGTGACAATTGGACGACCAGCCAGCGCAGTTGTAGTGCTCTGCCAAGTCAGTATGCGCTGTTTTTACTGGATGAATGTCGATATTGAACAGCAAATAGGAAGGTCAAGAATTAAGCCAATGATAGTGATGGCAATTGGCTGCCTGCCAGAGCACGTTTCCAGCGTCGTGACGCCGCTAATCCGATGTGCTTGGAGTGTTTTAAGGGTCTGCAACTTTTGCAAGTAAGTGGTGATCATAACTCCACTTAGCAACAATAATACTCCATAAGGTGTTAATTGGACTTCTCTAGCCTTGTTGGCCTCATTGGCGATACCACGATTGAGCATATCGTGCGCAGCGTTGAGATCCCGGACATTGCGAGGGAAGCCGGCAAGACGACCCGATCCGTGTGGCCACGCTTGGCTGTTTTTTTTTTTAGACAAGTGGAGCCTGATAAATCTGTGTTGCATTTATTAATGCCAAGCACGCGACATGCTTTTTGTATAATGTCTGATAAGCCCTCCACGATATCAAACCGCAAGTCACCTTTTTCAAACTTTCTCATCGCGTCACGCGTTCTCATAACGTCACCGGCTTTTTAGGTGTGTCTGAAACGTTTATAAAAAAAAACACTGGTGTGAG